GTGTGTATGTGTGTGTGTGTGTGTGTGCGTGTGCATGTATGTGTGTTAAAAACAATCATTCATTGGGTAACTTTAAAAATAAAATATACACTTACCTGTCCAGGGTTAGCAAGGCAGAAGAAGGATGACTAGAACCATTTAAGACCCTGCCATATATAAATGCTGACTCTCATTTTCACAGAAATAGTAGAGAGGTAGAGAGATGTATGTGATCAAAGGTGGTTCCTCAAGGACTCTTCCCTAATTTATCCAGTCACCATGCACTTTCTAAATTTTACATTTCTTCAGCTTTCAAAAATCAGTTTCTATTAAAACATTTGTTAATTCTTTCTGCAAATATGTGTTAAGTGCTTGTGATGCGTGCAGGAGGTAGTAGGGCATAGAGGTTAGAACCCAGGTCTCAACTTCAAATGGACTCACAGGTGATTCATCTCAGCCACTTAGCCTTTGATTTTGGTTTAGTTGCTTAACCTCACTAACCTTTGTTTTATTCATCTGTAAAGTAGAATAATAAGTGTATTCCTGCATACAGTTTATTTAATAAAAATTAATTTTAAAATAACTTTAAAAATAAAGATTAAATAAAGTAATAAATTTAAAGATCTTAGCTCATGAATTAAGAGCTCAGTGGATGTTGGTAAATGTTAATGTTGTTTATTATTATTACTATTACTACTTTTGCTATTATTGTCCTGTACTTGTTTACTAAAGAGGAAATAAAAAATACAGATTAAGCAGATCCTACAGAATATCCTAGTCCTAAAAGAGAACATTCTATGCACAGATGAAATGTTAAATAACTAACCAAGTACCTCATATAAGTCAGTAATATCCAGGAACATGAGGCTCACAGGTGGCAGCACAGTGTAATGGTTAAGATTGTAAACTCTGCTGGAATTAATTGCTTCTATTTAAATCTTGGTTCTCTGATCATCTGATGCTGGTTATTTATTCTCTTGGTGCCTCTGTGTCCTCAAATGTAAAATGAAATAATAAGAGTACATATCTCATAAGGTCACCGGGAGTATTAAATGAAGTAATACTTGTAAAACACTATGATAGTGCCTATTACAAAGTGTTTAATAAATATTAGTGATTATTACATGCTTCTTTGTATCTAGGTCAAGGCCTAGCATACTGATGTGCCATAGATATTTTTTGATTTCCTAAAAGTAATGGTATGACTACAGCCCTATAACTGTAGTGTTATTAATTTAGAAATGAAGGAGAAGGGATCATTGCAGGTTATAGAAATAAAATGGATGCTCTTACAGATAGCCAATTTCTTCCAATTTTCTCACTAATTGACAGTTTAAGAAAGGAAGACAGTGAATAGCATTATAAAACAGTATATAAAGTAATATGATAAACTAAATGTAGCCCATTTACATTGGGGCATCCCTGCCCCTAGGAAAGTAGGTTAAACTTGACTCAAACCCTTAACTTCTTAAGTTTAGTAGTGGTCCCCAAGTGCTCTGGAATTCCAAGTACCTTTACTCAGTGTTCTTCAAACCGTATCCATTGTTCTGTGACATATTCCTCACTATTCCAAGGGGAAAATAAAAGGATGGAGGTTTTCCATAGTCAAATAACTTTGGGAAACATTGATAAACAAAATTAAGCAGGTTTCTCAGATTTTTTTTTTTTATGTATAAATCTCTAGGAAAGAATGGGTGCATACACAGCACTTCCTCCAATGTATCTGACCATGAAACTCTTTTCTCATAGAAAATCTACCAATATCTTCTATTGCACAGAAAGGAATTAGGGATATGCTACTTTAAATGGATGAAAAAATCTTAGTGGCAAAAGAACAGGTAGCATGGAGGATATTTACCTGTTTTTAAAAGGAAGAATTAATGTTTTGAATCCCAAGAAATCCCAGGAACTTAACCAGTCATATAGTTCTTGTAGCAACTGCATTGTGTTTTATCACTAAGATTTTACAGATGAAGAATTTGAAGCTTGAAGATTAAAACAAAGTCACACAGCTAGTACATAAAGAAGGAAGAAGCTTCCACTAATTGAAATACTTCTTTAATATCTGGAATTACAAACTGGGAGAAAGACTGGCAAATGAGAGAGAAAGATTTCTCCAGGATATGTATGCATCTCTTTTATAGTTTTTTTTTCATCATTTTGCCACCCCCCATTTCAAAAAAAAAAAAGTATATTAACTGAAATTCATTGAGAGAAAGAGTGGGAAAGTAGTAAGTCTTAGTAATATAAGAAGTACAGAGCAAACACAAATTGCTCTAAGAAAAAGCACGAGATGCCATAGAAAATGTTGACTAAGTTCTTCCTACCTTTTAGGACTACATTTCCTTTCCTTTCATTGTGTAATTTTCATAGCAAGTCCAGTCAGATACATGAACAATTTGGAGTTCAATGGCCCTGTTTTCCTTGGAATAATGGAACCAGTAAAAATAAAGACACATATTTTTAAAACTATGTGGGTTAAAAGAGGGAGTAGGTTCTGGAATCTGCATTGAACCTTTTTTTCCTGTAATATATATTACATTATATATTTCATATGTGTCATATATATTATTCAGTAGATATGGGTAATTAGTATTGTTCACTGAATAAGAATATTTTCCAACTGTGCCCATTGATGTAACCTAATCAGTTATTTCTATAAATTTGATGTAGTTGATTAATGGATCAGAGGTCCTGACACAAATGAATGATTTCATGAGAGGCCACCACCATCTTTCTGGAATAAGAATACTAAAGAAAGTTTGGTGACACTGTACTGCAGAGTCCTTCCCCTTAAGAAATCTAAACACTAGAAGGTATGGGGCCAAGAGCAATAAAACTTCCAGGTTCTGGCCAAGGGAATACTTTTTCAATACCTAGGTATACTAGGGTCAGACAACATAATTTCTCATAAGGAGCACTAATAATGTAATTTACGACTTAAAAGAAGGCCACCTCACCTCTCTGAGTCAGCAACTACTACCTAATTGCTTGAAGGATTTTACCAGACAGGTGGTCTAGAAACCTTTTACTTATGGTCAACTCTGAACTTTTAAAATCTTTTTCCTCTTAAATATCTTGAAGAGCATGAGACACAACAGCATAGTCTATAGTTTTGAGAACATTGCCCCACACAAAACATTGTCTTACTTGAGCCTCACAATCCATATATGTAAGTAAGGCAGGTACTTTAATTCCCATTTTTAAGATGTATCAACCAAGGCTTATACAGCCAACAATAAAGCAAGACTCCAAAGGTCAAGTCCAGCACACTTAATGTCACAGCCTTGGGACTCTGCATGAATGAATGGGGAGGCGAAATGGAATTGTCACTGAGAACTGCACCTCAGGAAATCTTTTTATTTCTTTTACTACATTTCATATTTTTCAGAGACAATCAAATTTATATCACAGTCACAATGCAAAAGTATTCTAATCAAAATGTCATGTTCGTTTATCTACAAGGTAGATAACTATATACAGTTTCGTGTGTGTGTACGTGTGTGTGTGTGTGTGTGTGTGTGTGTGTGTGTGTGTGTGTGTGTGTGAGAAATAGCCTGAAAACAGCTCCCCCTCGCTGTCCTTCGAAACATATCTTCACCAAAATTAGAACGCAGAGCTATTGGTACAGAGTATTTCTGCTTCGTTTCAGCCCCGCAGCTGGGTTCCAGCTGTCCAGAGTAACTAATTAATAAGTGGGTGGTCTTTTCTCTCTTCTTCAGAGCGCCTCTTTTCTGCTGGGAAATTGCCTCTTTCTCACTCCGGACCCTAGAAGCCTGGCGATTTTTTCACTCGGGTGCCCTGGACAGCGCTGCGTGGGTGGCCGCTCTCTGGCCGCTGCTTTTTGTCCACTCAAAGAGATGTCCCCACGATTCAGCAGTAACCAGAAAAGTCCCCACAGACTACTGTAGCCCAATTCCCGCCCATCCTCCCTGTGGGAATAAGGCTTTTCCCGAAGAAAGCCCTAGGAAGCTAGTTTAAAGAAAACTCCCCAAGTCTCTCCTCCCTACTCTCGCCCGCGACGCCGGAGAAAACTGGAAAACCGGGAGACGTTCCTTTTCCCGGCTGTAGACACACGCATGGCTGCCGTGAGAGCTACAGTGGGACAAGTAAGTGCGTCCTTCTGGTCCGCAAACGTAGGCAGAGTAATAAAGAGCAGGCATCAAAGAAGTCACCTTTAAGTCACCCAGTTGTTACCTTGCAGAGGAGGGTGGGCAGAAGCGGGGTGGGGAGAGATGGAATTCCCGTAGCCAAGTTGCCCTGGAAATAAAATTAGCCAGACTGACTGCACCGGGATGGGTAGTCTCGCCGCGGAAAGACAAACCCGGGATGACTGGGACCCGGACGCGCGTCAATTTCAAGTGCAAGAGCGCGCACATTCCATGGCTGGCTTGGGATTTGGAGGTACCGTTCTGACTGCGTCTGTTGAAGTCAAATGCGGGGTTAAGGTGGCTATTGAAGAGGTGTGAGGAAATGATGGTAAGCCCAGAAAAGGCACGACATGTCCAGTTCTCCAAGTTTTTTGGCAAAGAAGAGCGCGAAAGCGCCACGATCCCGCCTACTATGCGGAGGAATCAGCGAATTTTCTAGCCCCACCCCTGCAGCTATGATGCAAAGAGAACAAATCACCGACGTAAGGAGGAGAAAATAAACAACTCCCAAGGGAGAGAGTAGGGCGGCGGGGAAAGTAGGCACTGAGCGGTCTTTAACCACTGAGGCGAGAGAGAGCGCGTTCTGGGGAAACAACACCCGCCTAAATAATTGAATTCGGGAACTCAATGCTTTCAGAGGCTCGGAGCGCACCTCCCCAGCTTCGCCCTCGTTGAGGAAGGGCAGAGTAGGGAGAGCAGTTCATTTAGCGAGTGGAAAGCTGAGCGGGGAGACGCCGGCAGGAGAGACAGCCGACCAGGTGGAGCGGTGAGTGTGAGAAGGAGAGAACGAATCCGGCAAGGAGCCCACTCCAGCGGAGGCGGGAAAGGACTGAGCCTCCGCGAAGGCCGAGGAGGCCCTGCATGGACAGTATGCGTTTCGCTGGAGGCTCGGATGCTGGGCCTGCCGGCAACTCCAGCCCGTGGTGGCCTCTGGCCAGCGGCGGGACCAACGCCAGCCGGGAAACGGAGGCGCTCGGGGAAGGCGGCGATCTGCAGAGGGACGAGCGCAACGAGGAGCTGGCCAAGCTGGAGATCGCCGTGCTGGCCGTGACTTTCGTGGTGACGGTGCTGGGTAACAGTAGTGTGTTGCTGGCGCTGCACCGCACGCCTCGCAAGACGTCTCGCATGCACCTCTTCATCCGCCACCTCAGCCTGGCGGACCTGGCCGTCGCTTTCTTCCAGGTGCTTCCACAGCTGTGCTGGGACATCACCTACCGTTTCCGGGGACCTGACGTGCTGTGCCGTGTTGTGAAGCACCTTCAGGTGTTCGTCATGTTCGTGTCGGCTTACATGCTGGTGGTCATGACCGCCGACCGCTACATCGCTGTGTGCCACCCGCTGAAGACGCTGCAGCAGCCCGCGCGCCGCTCGTTATGCTACAGGCCATGATGGAATAATATGAAACTAACGTTCCTATTGACCCTAGAAACTAGAAAGCCAATAAAATATCTGCTGAGCACGCCGCAGTACTTCGTCTTCTCCATGGTCGAGGTGAACAACGCCACCAAGGCCTATGACTGCTGGGCCACCTTCATCCAGCCCTGGGGTTCCCGCGCCTACGTGACCTGGATGACCGGAGGTATCTTCGTGGCTCCCGTGGTCATCCTGGGCACCTGCTATGGCTTCATCTGCTACCACATCTGGCGCAACATCCGCGGAAAAACGGCGTCGCGCCAGGGGAAGGGCGATGAGCGCGCGGGTGGCACCTTCCGCAATGGACTCCTGCTCGCGCCCTGTGTCAGCAGCGTGAAGACCATTTCTCGCGCCAAAATCCGCACGGTGAAGATGACTTTCGTGATTGTGACGGCTTACATTGTTTGCTGGGCGCCCTTCTTCATTATTCAGATGTGGTCTGTCTGGGATGAGGAGTTCGCCTGGGTCGGTAGGTATCAGTAGGTATTGGGACAATGGAGAAAAGTGCAGGGATTGGGCCGTGGGGCGAGGGGTGGAGAGACTTTTTATAATATCCTCAAGAGCAGTAGTTTTTAAACTTCTGTGTGCATAAGAATCACACCTTGGGTGAAATTATCAAAAGGTAAATTCCTGGGGTTCACGCCCCAGACTTTTTGATTCACGCCCCAGACTTTTTGATATCCTGGGAATAGGGTCCAGGAATCTGCATTTGTAGCGTGCCATGATCCTAAGACCGCAAATCCGGAAACTGTACTTTAGAGTCGGCCACACAAATACACAGCAGAGTGACTTTTTGCCGATCACTAACCACTGTGTTACTACCCTGCTTTCAAGTCAGGGAAATATTTTCACTGTTACGACTGCTTTTTACTAGTTTGTAAAAAGTATCACAATTAATAGAAAAATTTTGTAGAAATGTCGTAAGGGCAAGGGTAAAACTTAGGACATATTTCTCTGAAGAATGATTCTTGAGTGAATTCTAATTTAGCATTTAGCTAATGTTTCATTGCGTATTATAATCTTTTACTTTTTTTCTGACAATTATTTTAACACTTTCTGGTGTTTCAAAGCAGAATTACTGATAAACTAAACTTGTTAGACCAATTACTCTTTCAGCGATAGCTTGACCACACAGTTAGTTACACACCTCTTCATGCGACCCTTGCAGCAGTTTACCGATTCCCTAC